TCATTGTGGGAAAATTATACTACCAGTCCTTCATCACCTTACACGAAATAGGGTGAATACATCTCATTATACATAATTATCTTAGTTTGCTTTAGGATGATCAGCTTTATTGGTTAACGATTCAACTTACCAATGGGGCTCATTCCCTCTTAATCTGCAATTTAATTTAATATTTTTTGCACGAAAATAACTTTGATTATGCTAATCCAAACAATTCAGTACATTCTTTTCCTTCTCGTTGCGCTTGCCTTATTCGCCTCATTCGCCTCATTTATTTTATTTAAAAGTCTTGTGAGTTCACAATTCATGAGGTGCATACTCGTGGTGGCTACGTATTGCATATGGGTCGATTGGATGGCCATCTGGCTGTAGGTGATCTGGTTCATCTGAGCCTGGACACGGTACGCCGTGCTGGGTTACAGCGCAACCACACTGGGACTCATGTGCTCAACTACGCTTTGCGTCGCGTCCGCACTGAGGCAGATCAGAAGGGAAGTTTGGTGGCGCCGGATCGCTTTCGTTTTGACTATAGTGCAAATGTAAGTTGGCTCTGCTCGAAATTTTTAAAAATAACCTAAGTTTATGAGAATTTAATATCATAAACGAGAGATGACATTTGTTTTAAACAGACTGATTTTTTTAGCTGTCGTAATCGTGCATTAGCCTATAGCTGTGTTGAACTGTACAATTTCGATTATATATGTTGTGCCACGAAGCGAATGTCAACTTGATTAAAGAATAGGGGAGTTTCATGAAATTGAGAAACAGCACTGAAAATTCAGTAGTTTTCTGAGTTACTCTTTGAGTATAGAAACTTGAGACACTGTGCCAACTCACAAATGTTGTGGTTCAACATTGAACCTAATCAAACCAAGCAGTACCACAATATTTATGGGTTGGTACACAAGAGACTAGAGCATAGGAAGTCATAGACTTGGTATTAGGGATAGAAACAGGATAGACGCGACGGAGACTAGAGCTAGTTGGCTGACAGTAGACCTGTTTTAACATAGACGTGGCACATGCAGCAAAGGCTTGACAAGTATAATTACTCAGGGGATTTATACTCGAGTTAGTCTTCTAGCCACAGAGTGCGTGAAATAACGCATCATGGAGCACTGATGGGGTGGCAGGGGTCGAGTGAAATACTTGAACTAGGGAGATAGCAGTCGGATCCTACAGGGAAAGAAGGAGACTGATAAAACATGGGAGGAGGACTGCATAACAATAAGACAGACTGATCAACATTCCTAGCACAAGGGTGAAGGATGTAAGAGGATAAAAAATACAGCGTAGAGTGTAGAGAGTTATCACGAAATCAGCTCTTAGGGGCACAGCATACTACATTTAAATAAGCTAGTAAAATATGATAGTGAAGGCGTGTTATGAGAATATAGGGTTGGTGATTGGTCAAAGACGGAAGGAGCGACATTACGATTGTTTAGCAGTCAATTGGTTAAATGGTCGGCTTCACTTGTTTCTTCGACGAGTTTTAGTGTGGTGTTAAGAATGGCAAGACTTACTGACGATACCACGACGAAACTTCTGGGAATGTACTACGTCCACGGTCCGACTTTGGAAGTTATCATGCATACAATGGACTCCGGACTATGTACGTTCCTCTAAGTCTTCCTAACAATATGATCAAGTTGCGAAAGCAAGGTCAAACTTTTCTACAACGAAAGGACACTGCGACTACTCAAAAGACCACATTATCATAGTCTTCATAATTTCGATTAAGACTGAGGGTGCATTTGTCAGAAAGCTTTATCCATTTACAATCATTCTACTCTAATGACCAATAGGAAAGTCGTTCTCAGAAAATAGACAAAGTGATTCCTTATATTTTACGATTAGCTTTACAAAGAAAATCTTTAAGACGAAATTATGTAATACTAATTACTATAAG